AAAACAATGAATCCATTCAGTTTTAACTGGCACTTGAAATTAATATAATTTGTCACAATTTAATACCTTGGTATATTCAACATGTTAGATTCTGCATAACTAGATTCAGCTCATCCCAGCCTGGAAGAAGATACATTTGCAATAAGCTGAAATGTTTCTCTACGCTTTTCTTCCCTGCTTGTTTGAAAATGTTAATCATATCTCTGCTTTCAGGATAGATGGAAAAGTAATTTCAGGACAGCTGTATCCAATTGCTCATGTATCTTCATTCAATTTGATTAGAACTCAGCATTTCCTTTGGTCGACACAGATTACTGAAACACCTTTTCATTTTCATTTTTGCTTTGTTATAAAATGTTTGATATTCATGTAATACATTGGTTTATTTTTTTTATAGATTTAAGCAAGGTGGATATTTAATGAGCTGTTCTCTTTTCTATACCTTGTTTTTTCATCATGGACAAGCTTAGATTAAAAGCTTTAAAATATTTCTGAAACAACCAGTATTGACTGAACTGATTAGAGCTTTGCTGTGCTGGCCTAGTTTTCATCCCCAAGAGCTGCATGAAAAACAGGCTGTCTTTTTCAAATAACAGCATCATACAATGATGCAGACAGTGTTGTCTTACACACATAAATATCTTTAATATCACCAGTTATGCGTCATGCTGTGTAACAGCTTTGATCAATATGCATGGCGTTGGTTTTTAAAGGTAGACCTGCACTATTCACACCGCTTGCCTTTTCCACGTCTTAACAAGAAGCATTGTGGCATTTTCAGCTCCTCAGATAGTTCACAAGATGCTCAAAATTAAACAGCAACACTGGTCAGAATTGCAGCTTTTGTCCAATTATCCATCTGTCAGTTTGTCTGCACAGCTTCAGAATCCCACCTCTACCTGAAGAGGCGCTTTAATTGGTCTACAGCTTAATGATGTGTGTGAGAGATTTAGATCTGGACTGTTCTGCTCATTTAATTCTATAATGCTTCAGCTTAACTGATCCTAAATTCAACAGGTTTTTAAATAAGGTTTGTATTATTATTATTATTACCATCATTGGTATCTGAGCCCATTCATTTCTGGGATGTTCAACTTCTTCTTTCTTGACTTTTGCATACATTAAATCAGTGAATAAGGCAAAGGGACGCTGAATTGGTTTTTGTTTAATCCAATATTTGCTTCCGAGCTCAGTCACCGTCAACATACCAGTCTTGTTGAATTTGTTTAGCTGGAGCTGGGAGTCAATCAAGGTGGGGGATGAGCTTAGGGTAAACAAAGAGAAAAACAAGTGGCAGGATGTGGTTACGGTGTAATGCCAGGAACAATTCAGGCTGGATAATCCGAGGACCTTGTCCCTGAATTCTAATATATGTGAGGAGTTGGTAATTGGGACATTGGTAGGCAAACTACATTACAGCCTGACAATGTATGCTGACATACAGAATATTTATAATCTGTTTCCGGGCAATGCCTGCAGGTACAAGATAAATACACACAATAAGCCGAGGAGGAAATCCCTGTTGCAAATATGTTTAAGATAACAAGGCAAGCCAAAAAGAAAAAAATTAATTTAAATATATATTTAAAATATTCCCTCACATGAACTTTTGGTTTATATTGTCTGATATGCATTTATAACGCCTGTCTAAGGGTTTTATGGCAATAATGTGGCAGTTTTTTAATATACAAATTAGCCTGATGTAGCTATTAAGACCTTAAAATCCAGAATATGTTTTTCATCTCTTTCTGACAGCACTGTATTCACATCCCTCTGCAGGAGATGATGTAGTCTTTGATAAGGAAGATATGTCAAAGATCACAGGATCTCTCTAATTCTGTATTCTTCTCCTGTACCACATCCATTCATTTTCTGATAACCTCTAGCTGCCATCATAGCTGTCAAATGCAGTTTTCATTTGAATGTAAACAGAATATCCTGCCAGAAATTGTCCTTATGATTCAGACTTTATTTCTGTAACATACAAAATCAAGGCTTTGTTGTGATTCAGTTGCATAAGTAACATCATAGAAAGCTTTAACTATATTTGTCAGTGGTCAGTGATCAGTTTCTTACATTTTTATTAGAATTATATGTGCAGATTTGTGCAGACATACATTTCTCCCAGCTGTGGAGGGAAAATACAGTATGTAGAGTATTATAGCCATAAAGCAAGAAATATATTAAAAAAAACAGATGAAAGAAGATGTAAAGTCATCAGTTGCTAGCTACAGTAGACCTGCACATAAATTCAGTGAATGTATGATGGTAAATGAAACTGGCATTTAATTTACTCCAAAGGTTTGTCATGTCCATCAAACAAAGGAATGACGGAAGGATGAAGGGAGCTATTGTCCTTTCAAGAAGAAAAGTCATTTCAGCAAGTGCCTTGTCTCATATACAGAATTCTCAACTCCATTTCCAGAGAATCAGTCCACTCGGTGGAGTGTGTGGATTTGAAGGATTTGGACCTAGGCAAGCAAGTGCCCCAAAACAACATGCATTTATGTTCAAGTGACAAAGCCCTCTTGCGGCCGTAGTACTTTATGACGTTTCATTCTCTAAGCGTTTCTATGTGTTGTTCTACAGGGTATCTACAATTAATGTATTTTATCATTTAGTTTGGAGGACTTGTTGAAAAGCATTTGAACATTTTTCAGTCACACACTATTCTGCTCATTGACAGTTATTGGGAGTAACGTACCAAGAAGGAAGCAACGCACCTGCAAAAGATAGCAAAGCAGAATACTGCGAGATGTTATCAATGCAGGTTTAAAAGTACAAAAAAAAAAATGCTTTGCAAATGTTTTGTTTTATGAGGATGTGAATGTATTAAACATGTCTGTTAGGCTTCAAGGATACACAACACAATATGTTGTTTGAGTGTATGAGTATGTTATGAGTGTAAACATAACTCTTTTACGGCAAAACTCAACAGGGTGCGTTTAAACAGGTATATCCAGGCCTCCTGTGCGTGTCATCAAGTCATTTTATTATGTTTATGTTAAAGAAGAGGTTTGACTCTTCCGTCAGAATTAAATTAAATACATTTTCACCTGAATTTTGTCCCAAGCAGATTCATTTTCAATATATTTATTGCAGTTTAGGTTTGTATCTCCACATCCAATTATCAACATCCACGATGAGAGATGATGCCAAGCGACAGGTGGCAGCGCCACTGGCAACTCAAATCATCCAGTTTCAATTTGACGTATGTCAGCATCATAACCCTGTTAGATTATTTTGACAAGGAGTAAACCTGGTTGTGTTGCCAAAAGAAACCTGGTCCTTTTAAACTGCAACAAATCAGACTGACATTATGGCTTCATTATGATGTCAGAAAGTGGCAGTAAGCAGTATTAACTTTTGGAATGATCATGTCTTTTCCCCTGCTGCGCAAGTAAGAGGTCATTTGGATGCTTAAAGTTTTCATTTCATTTTACTGGCAGACTGTTCATCTATGTGTAGAACACCTTGGGACATGAATGTTCTGTTAATGTGTTTATTAATGGCAGCGGGGAGACTCAGTCATCACAGCACAGTATCAAAGTTACAAGTAAACTTGAATAACAACTTAAATTGGATTCTAGCCAGTAGTGCGTGTAAACAGGACGAGGGGGGGGGTTCGGTTGATTGGGGACTATGGGAGTTGGAAATGAGTTCAGTGTGTGTGTTGGTAGCAAAGCACCATATGTGCACTGTCCAACAGAGTGTTAGTGAAGAGGCCAGAGCGAGGTAAGGCCTGCGAGGTGGAGCAGTGGAGCTGGACCGGCCGACCGGCTGACCGAGAGCTGGAACAAATTCCTTTGGAGCTCTGTGAGAGGTGGCTCTGTCTGCGTACAGGTGCACAGTAACAGCATTTCTTCAGCCAAGGCAACTCGCTCTCCAATGGATGAATGTGATTGTTAAGCTTTAAATCATTAATGTTCCCCCCGTCTCAATGGATGCCTCTGGTGTTCACAGTAGAGTGACACATAGAGTGTTATCAGGGCTGCACAGATAAGCAGACCATACATATTAGCATTTCACTTTCATGTGCTTGATGAATCAAAACATTACACAAGGCAGAGAGCTTGTTAGCATTCTGAATTACATTTTTGATAGGTCTGAAGGGTGCATTTGTAATATTTGTAAGGAAAATTCAGTAATTACAGAAAATGCCTGTGGATGGCTCAGAAAAGTGCAAAGCTAGGTCACCTGCTCCTCAATTGCAGCTTGCCATGCTAACACGTGTTTTGATGCAGCTTCACTCAGCCTTCACGCGTGTGACAGCTGCTTTAGCACATCATTTGGATTTGATGAGTTGTACATTGTTTGTACATTGCTGTGTTAACTGGACAGTGTCATCCATTATATCCACCCTAAACTGTGGGCATGACTGGCTTCTTATTGCAGGAAATATGAGGGCGGCAGGTAGTGATCACAAAGCAATTTCGTTCCAATGTGTCACTAATGATGTGTAGCTTACTGATCACCACCTGCAGCTGTCAGGCACCTAGCTGATACTTGTAAACAGATTGTAAGTTGCAGGAAACCTCAAAACAACATGTCACAATATCACACAGAAATACCACATTTAAGCAGACATCCGCTATTGAATAAATTACTAAATATTTAATTAGCACATCTGTTTTTTTCCACAGGATTGTTAGGTTGGACATTATGTTGTCATTATGTTGTCATCTGTCTGTGTAACTCTAACAAATTGTTGTTGTCTTGTTGCATACATTTACATAAAGAGAAATTTTCTTGAACTTATTTTCAGCTTAATGCAATAATTATCTTGATTTATGAACTTCTTAGCATAATTGCTTGCACTTAATAGATCATAGTTGATTATGGTAGGCCATTAAGGCATCTAATGTCTCTTTCTGGCAATGTCAGAACCTTAATTCTATTCAGGTATTTAAGGAACTGTCCATGTGTACTCTTTCCTCTCAGTACAGAAGCAGGTGCACTTGCTGGTTCTGCACGCTCACTGTCCTGATATTGTGTTGCAGGCTGGAATGATCCGCACTGACTCAGATGAGTACTTCATTGAGCCGCTGGAGAGAGGCACTCAGGAGCTGGAGGACCAGGGCAGGGTCCACGTGGTTTATCGCAGGTCGGCTCTGCTGCAGGCCTCCTCCGACATCTCTGTGGATTACCAGCTACATGGTAGGATGGACAACCATGATGTTTACTGCTTCTGGGACAGATAGTCCAAAGGCTGTTACTAGTACTGCTAGTATTGCTAGTGCTACTTCTACTACTGCTACTATTTCTATGACTATGATGATGCTATTTTTTTTATACTACCAATTGTCAGTTTGTAATGTGACTGCTTGTTTTGGTTGAGTGCAGAGTTATATAAGTTATGTTTGAGGGTTCTATAGTCCGTTGGTCTATTTTCTATAAATAATCACTGCTTAATGCATAATGACCTATGTCATATGATAGTTACTTTCTTAAAGCTGCCGTACATGTGGTGAAGCTCAAACACCATGACCATATGTGAAAAACCTACTAACTTCTCTCAAACTGTTAAAAAATAAATAAAAACTAGTTGACAATATTCCTTCACAACCACAAAGCTGGTTAGCCATCGTTTATCACCCAAACACAAATAATATAAAACAAACAAATCAAAGGTCCTTTCACAGAAGGAAATGTATGGATGGAGCCACATAAACTTGACAGATAGGAGAGCCACCACCCATATGGGCTGCACATGGGACAACAGCAAGCGCTCCTCTTCTTTCCCCTTCATAGGAAATTAAAAACTTCCTAGCCAGAAGTCTCTCAAGCCAGACAAGTTTCTGTTGCACAATTATCTGAGGCAAACTTGATGTAACAAAGCATGTTGATAAGTTTGTTGGGATTTAAATAATGTAAAGTTAATGCAAAGCTGGGAGGCTTTTAATAAAAAGAGTTAGATTTTTGTCATAATGGTCAAGAAGGGGTGGCATTAGCGTGACCCCACACCTACGAAAAATTCTTACTTATGGAAGGCCATGCTTGACCTGACATGGAAACAATATAGTTTATGTGACAAAAATGTTCAACTCAACTTAAGGTCAACTTATTAGCTTTCTTCAAGCTTTCAACCACTTTTCATTGTCTTCATCTGCTTACAGAACTGATTCAGGTGACCGTTTTTCCAAATGTATGTCCCAGTTCTATTTGCCATTTAAGACCATGAGATGCAGTTAAAAGCTCAGAAAAAGCTAGTGAGTGAATTCATGCACACAATTACACACAAATTATTGCTTTTACTTCTGCTGCCACTGCAGATGCTATTATTATTAATGCTAACAGCTGTTACTGCTTGCTTTAAATACTGAGCTTGCCCTCTATTTATACCAAACAAATGTCACTGTTGCTGCTGACGGAAACATGTAATGCATCACATACAATGTGAAGGAGATCTGCGCCCAGAAAAGACTTCTTCCTGTGAATCCCTTTGTGTTTGGGAACAACAAAAAGAGCTTATGTGAGTCTTTAACTTTTATCAGTTGTCTATAAGAAGTAGTAAAAATGTTTTTTTTCTGAAAGGTCTCGAAACATTACTCTTTTTTCAATTTTGACTATATTAGAATTATATATTAATATTTCAACAACACACAAGACAAAGTGTTTTCCCACTAAGTATATTATAAATATCCATAAAGACTCACAATCAGTTGGTAAATGTAGCCTACTTGGCTGAGTTGTGGTCCATCTGGACTTGGCTGTTGTGTAAACTGAGTTGAAATACTGGTTTTGAGCGAGACAGACTGTATCATCATTTGCATGATGTCCATGTGTATGCTGACCTAATGAATGCATGGTTGTAAGATGCTTGTATTAATAGCTGAACTTGTCACAGCAGCGTCTGACAGAGTGTCACCAAGAGTTGCATTTCCTTTGGCACGTCTACATAAAATCCTCTGCCAAGGAAATGTTTACCCTAATTGCTGTATTGGGAATCATTTTCTCTGACTTCACGCCATTGCAAACTGGAACTTAAAGAAAATGTCAACCCAAAGAAAGCGCAAAGAGTGCTTAGGCGTCAGCTGCTCAATTTATAATTCCTAAACTACATTTTACTTTATATTTTTTCCTCTACAGGCTGGCACACAAGCTGTGAAAATTGCTTTATGACCATTTATTTTCTGGCAGTTTCGAGCAATCCCGAAGAGGTTTTTGGGACGATGCTGGCAATAGTAGTAATCAAGTTATTTATTTTCTACAGTAAGGAGACCCTGAATTCATTATTATAAATTGGGGAAAAAAGGGACTTTGTTTTTGAAAACTTAAGTCTCGCAATAGGGCAAAGACTTTGTGGAGCAGCTATCAGTGCTCATATTTGAAACCCCAAAGTGCTCAGTATTAAATACAAATAACCAGTTACTATTAGTCGCTGTTGTAATTGTGATTGTATGTTTTGAAACTACATCTCCTACCATTTGGAGGGGTTTGGGGGATGTAAACAGGACGTCTGTTGCCAGGTGAGTTAGTGTAGGCTACAGCTTGTGCAGTGTCTTCTTAGCCTATATTTGTTTATGTTTTGGTAAACTGGCACCATTGAAAGTATGCCGAATTAGCTATTAGCAGCTTCTGTTTGCAGTGTACCCATGGATGTAGAAACAACCTTTACTGGATTACTTTGAAATTTAAAATTAAAAATTTGCAACTTGCCAGCTAAAGTTAATGTTATGTTTCCTCATTATGTTAATAGAAAACATAATTTGGTTAGCATTAATGTTTCCCTCACAACATATTTGCTGTTGTAAATTAGTTACAACAACATAATATAATTTATTATTAACATAATTTCTAGTATTTCTAGTAGTCTGCCATTCAGACATATATTTAGACAGCCCCTTTTCACAGGCAGACTTTAGCTGGAGGTATTTGTCGACATTTTTTAAACCACACATCTGAATCTCTGTAACTAGGGCAACAATGGCCACTGAGGGATAGACAACTTGCCTGTCATTAGGTGTCCACAAATTCTGATTTAATAGGTTACTTTTCCACTATGTCTCATAAAACTCTTTTTGTTTTATTATTTTGCAAGTCATTCCAAGCATGTGAAAATGTAGTGTATGCATTAGAGTAGGGTGTGCACAAAAGTACGGTACAAATTTTGTCCTGTATTGATTCAGTAAGGGACAGTGGATTTTATTTTTCATTACAAAATAATCATACATTTTACAGGATGATCCCATACTAGGACGACGGGTGGCAGTTACCTGCAGCATACCCACATCTATTACAGATCTTATCCTGTCATTTCATGATAGTTAAAATGCTGTCCAGGACCATGAGTTAAATTACGGAGGAGCAGTGACTATTTCATTTCCCACCTCCTTCTGTGATGTTACTCCCGTCCAAATGGGGCTTAACTTTTCTTAGCATTAGCTAGTGATGTGGTTATGTGGGACTTTGATGCTATGACTTCGCTCTGTGTCTGCTTTTAAAAAGACATGGTCCTGTTCCACCTCCTCTAATAAAAGACAGCCTACTTTATTTCTATGAAAGTACTGATATGCCTCAGAGCTTTTCAGGTTGTTCATTGCTTCACTGTTGGTAACAACAGAATCAATTATGTAGTGCTGGCTAAGTAAGCTGTACATTTTCTGAAGTCAGGTCGTTCTCCCATCCCTCTCAAGGATATGATTTTTGACGTTGACCAAAACTGCAGCTCTTGTGGGGTGTTCCTGGTCATTACCTATCAAAAGTGCTCCAAGGAAGAAAAAGAGGTGAACCAGGGACAGGGTCGTGGGTGGCCAAGTCTTATAGATGCACATAGGGAGTGAAGACTGGCCCGTGTGGTCTGATCCAACAGACGAGCTACTGTAACTCAAACTGCTGAAACAGTTAATGCTTCTGATAGAAAGGTGTCAGAACACACAGTGCATCACAGTTTGTTGCATATGGGGCTGTGTAGCTTCAGACGAGTCAGGATGCCCAAGTGGTCATAATGTTATGGCTGATTGGTGTACGTATATCTCAAGAACTCCCTTTGTCACGATCATTTAAATCTAAATTGGCGGCTCTGTTGTTTATATCATCTCAATGGGGATGCAAGCTGAATATGATCAACAGGAGAAGACAGATTCCAACAGGAGGAATATGCAAAATCCTGGCAGAAATAAACACAATAAGGCTTTCACAGGCAGCAGACTAAAACAGCATGAAGCTGCACTGATTGCATTAATAATAGGAAGCTATATTGGTATTATCAGAGATTCTGTGAATATATGTAAATGGTGAAAAGGTTTGAGGCATACACAATATGCTGTCATGGGAACATAACAGGTTCACTCTCAGCAGATTTGTTTTGTGCAAGATTTCTTCTGAACAATCCAATCAAGTCAATCAATCAAATCAATTAGTTCCATTCAACACCTGATATATGTTTCTCAACTATTAGATGATAAGTGCAGGCATAATGACTGCTTAGTAGCAACATGTGATAGTCAAAGGAGAAGCAGGTCTGCTGTTCCAAATCAGGCATTTAACTGAATGAAAAACAAAGCAATTCTTTGTAATCTCACAACACAGAAGGCACAGGTTTCCTGAATGAAATCAGTAGGCAAACACACCGGCAGTGTCATCCTACATGTTTAAAAATGTATTTTTATGATGTAACTGACAATGTTTGTGCTAACTGACTAATATTTACAGATGTTGCATCTTGATAATTTTGAAATGCTTATGAACAGACACAGGAAGAGCTTAGGGTAGATGGAGAGTGCAACAGCCCAGACCCACATTCCAGTAGTTGCACTCCATTTGACCATAATGACATGCTGCTTGTTACATAACACCAAGGGCAGTGAAATTTGGACTCAATTGAAACTAATTGAGTTCAGTTGACGTATTTGAAGTAACTGGTATGGCATTAATCAAATAGCAGGAAGTGGAGATTCTGTGGAAAATGTCAATTAAATTGCCAGTGACAGGTGTATTTCAGCCACCACAAGCCATGTGAAAATCATGTTTATCAGTATGTATTGTTAGTGCACATGGTATTATGTCTACATGCCACACAGTCAAGTCAGCATAAGTGGTTGTTTTAGGAAGCTATGATTTCTGAAGTAAAGTAGTAGTTTAGAAGAAATGTTAAAATACATGATTGTGAACATAAAACAACACAACTCTCTAAGAGGCTTGTTACCTTTTTGTAG